TTGATTGTAAAACTGTCGAAGTGCTACATTTTCGAGAAGTTAAATGATGCCAGTTGAACTTCATTTCCAGATTGGATAATTCAGTTGTTAGACAGCAAGCAAAAGTTTATCTATGCGGGTGCCTTTCAGACCAGAAAAACAGTAGATCAAAAGAAAGGATTACAAGGTCAAGTCGTGTAAAATTTAGCGGAATAGAATTGTTCGCAGGGGCAGATTTAGGTGGGAGGGGGCGGACGCCCTCTCCTCAGGGATTCGACCCCCTCTCCAACCAAAGGGTCCCCCGTCTGGTATTATTTTATGACATCCATTGTAGGCCGACCAACTCTAAAATTTTTCTAAAGGCGCCCCTCTAGCACCCATATATTCTAGTTTTGAAAGGAAGCGCGCGCGAGAAAACGCAACTTTTGGTCGAAATTTTCCTAATCGTGCCCGAAAACGGCATTTTTGACGTGTTTTTTTAAATTTGCGTGCGGTGCAAAGTTTTTGGTCAAAATATGGTCTTTGGAGTATTCTGGGAGCGCTCGAAAAATCAATTTCGTCGATCTAAAAAAAAACGTCGACAAAATTTTCGAGCATTTTTTGAACATCCCCCCCCCCCCCCGAGAAAAACCTAGATCCGCCTCCGATTGTTCGTTAGCAAGAACAGATGCTTCCCCCTCAATTCTGGTTTCCAAATTTTCCCCCCTTTCGTATAATTTTACGAGTTCTTCGATGTCAAACTAACTAAAATTGATGACAAGGGAGCGCGCGCCGAAAAAAAAACGCACTTTTTTGGTCAAATAATCTTTAAAGCGCTCAAAACGTCATTTTAGCCTATTTTTCAAAAAACTGCTTCAGTGTTTTTCAAAAATACAACGATGACGCTAATTTGACAAAATAGGGTCCTTATATTATTTTCGGAGAGCTCAGAAAATCAAATTGGTCGGCCTTAAAGGAAGGTCGACAAAACTTTCAATTTTTTTTTTTCAAAAAACCGCCCCCTAAAAAAATTTCTGCTCACGCCACTGGTCGAAACATATCATCTTGCTGAAGTCAAGCACAGTGCTTAGATGGACGAGATATACCGAATTTTGGTCTAGATAGCCTGGTCTTGCTTAGATGGATGAAACATACCGAATTTTGGTCAAGACGTTCGAATCCTACCGCATTTTTGTCGAAAGGGTCGGAATATAAAACAGCACCTCGTCCCGGGTACCTCAGATCTTCAAGTGTTTTTACTAAATTAAAATTCTAGTGATAGCTATCTCCCATCTTTAAGCATAATAGTTTTGCATATTTAACGAAAAAACTTTTTCATGTTTAAGCTATATCATATATTGCAATGCTTAAGAAAATTTTTCAATTAATTTTCCGCAAGGTCAATAATTTTTCAGTAATTTTTTTCGAGGCTAAATTTTTTAACTTTCAATTTTGTTTCGACGATTCAGTTCAAAATAGTACTACTGCCAAACGGTTGTCTCCAATCTTTCTTTCCTTCATCTTTGCCTGGATTCTCTATCTTCTTTTTCTGTCTTTTTTTTCGATCCTTATTTTTTGATCTGTTTTTTCTCTCTTTTTCTATCTTTCTTTTTCTATCATTCTTTTCTATCTTTCTTTTTCGATCCTTTTTTTCTATCCTTCGTTTTCTATCCTTTTTTCGATCTTTCTTCTTCTATCTTTTTTTTTCAATCTTTCTTTTTCTTTTTCTACATTTTTATCTTTTTTCTACTTTTTCGATCTTTTCTGGTTTTCTTTTTTTATCTTTCTTTCTCGATCCTTTTTTTCTATCCTTCTTTTTCTATCTTTTTTTTTCGATCTTGCTTTTTCTATCTTTTTTTTTCTCTTTTTTTTGATCGTTTTCCTATCTTTCTTTTCCAATCCTGCTTTTTCCATTTTTTTTCTACCTTTTTTTATTATAGTTTTCTATCTTTTTTTCTCTTTTTCTATTTTCTCAATTTTTTTTCTATTTTTCTTTTTCAATTTTTCCGATCTTTTCTGTTCTTTTTCCATCTTTTTTTTCTACCTTTCATTTTTTATCTTTCTTGTTCTATCTTTCTTTTTCCAACTTTCTTTTTCTATCCTTCTTTTTCTATCTTTCTTTTTCTTTTTCTATCTGTTTTTTCGATCTTTCTTCTTCGATCTATGTTTTGACTCTATCTTTTTCTCTTTTTTTAAAAAAAAAAATCTTTTTTCTGAAGATTTTTTTTCTCATGATTTTTTTTCTCTTAATTTTTTTTCTCAAGATCTTCTTTCTCGGGATTTTTTTTCTCAAAATAATTTTTCTCAAGATCTTTTTACTCAATCTTTTTTTCTATCTTTTTATCACTTTGTTGTATCACTTTTTATATCACGTTTTTATATAATTTTTTGATATTACTTTTTTTATCACTTCTTATATATCACTTACTTTTTTATATCTCGCTTTTTTATATCATATTTTATATCACCTTTTTATATCACATTTTTAAAACACTCTTTTGTACCATTTTTTATACTATTTTTTATATCACTTAATCAAATCGATTTTTATATCAATTTTTCTTGATAGCTATCTATTATTTTTTCAATGCGGGCATGACTATCTCGGCATGTTTAAGCTTTTTCAACGTAAAACTTTTTCATAGTTAACGAAAGATTTTTTCACGTTTAAGCTATATCGTATATTGCAATGGTTAAGATTTTTTCGATTTTCCAGTTTGAATTCAGTGGTTACTCCATCAAGTTTTAAAAAAGCAGCCCAATAGTGGGATCCTGTTAGATTTCACAGAGTGATTGCAATTTTGGTGTCCAATTAAGACTGCTCAAATTTTTTTAGTGTACGAGATACGACGATTTTTGATTTTTTTTCGAAGATATTTGGAAAACTCAAATTACAAAACAAAATAAAAAATTTGAAATTCCTTGCCCTGTGTTTGGGTGCTGTCAGGGTGCTCTCAGGGGTTCCAAATATGACAGCTCAAACCCTTGTTGTTTCCGAGATATAAAGTTTTTTGTGATTTTAAAAAAACTTTCAGAAAACTCAATGATTTTTTTTCTTCAAAATTTGAAATTCCCAACCATGTATTTGGGAGCTTTAAGAGTACTTCTAGGTACTGCGAACCATGCCTCCAATTATAACTGCTCAAATCTTTGTAGTTTTAAAATCTGACGTTTTTTGTGATTTATCAAAAAATTTTCCTAAAACTTGACTCAATTTTTGTTTTCAAAGTTTGAAATCCCTTACGCTGTCAGGATATTTTCAAGGGTTGCAAATTTTGCCTCCAAATTTGACTGCTCAAATTGTGGTAGTTTTTGAGATATCACGTTTTTTGTGATTTATCAAAAAATTTTCAGAAAACTTGACTCAATTTTTGTTTTCAACCTGCGAACCTTGCCTCCATTTATAATCGCTCAAGTTTGTGTAGTTTTTGAGCTTTAACGTTTTTTGTGATTTTTTCAAAAACTTTTCAAAAAACTGTAATCAATTTTCGTTTATCAAATTTTTAAATCATTTACTCTGTACTTGTGTGCTCTCAGGGTACTCTCAGGGGTTGCGAATGTAGCCTCCAAATTTGACTGCTCAGACCCTTGTAGTTTCCGAGATATAACGTTTTTGTGATTTATCAAAAAGTTTCCAGGAATAATAACGAAAATAATTTTTTCTTCAAACTTTGAAATTCCCAACCCTGTAGTTGGGGGCTATCAGAGTACTCTCAGGGTATTGCGAACCTTGCATCCGATTATGACTGCTCAGTTTTTTGTAGTTTTCGAGATATGACGTTTTTTTGTGATTTTTTCAAAATTTGAAATTCCTTACCCTGATGTTGGTTGCTGCCAGGGTACTCCCAGGAGTTGTAACTCTTGCCTCCAAATATGACTACTCAAATATTCGTTTTTTTTTCAAGATTTTACGTTTTCGAGATGACGGAAAATAGTAATTAAAAAATTTATCAAACATGAAATTACCAATCATGTAATTGGGCGCTGTCAGAGTACACTAAAATCTGGTTTCCAATATATGCGGTTTTTCATGAGTTGTCAAAAATTCGAAGCACCGGAGGTGCGTTACACGCTAGTTTTTTTAATTTTTTTTTCTTAAAACATAGTATAGCACCAGGCACATCAAAACGCATGACATCCAGTTTTCTCTAATTGTACAAAGGAATTGAATGTTATATGTGATTTCAAGAAGAAAAGTTCCATATAACTCAAACCACAGAGCTGGTAGACATGGTTCTAGTTTAAAAACAGAACAGAACAAGAATAGCCGATGGCTTTGCAAGTAGCACAAATTTTCCGACCGTGTTCTTAAAAACTTCAAGACTTCACGGACTTTTTTTACTCCTATTTGATATTCGTAGTAAAATATGCGTATAGAACAAAAATTTTCTTCAAAAATGAGTAGAAAAATAAAAAAAAACAAAACAAGTTTTTTTTTCAACTTTTGCAGATTTTTTCAAGTTCTTGAAACTTTTTATTGCAAGATAGCTCTTAAAAACTTTGATAAACTGTTTTAAATTTAAAAAATGGTTCTCAGGATTTGAATAAAAGTTTCAGGGCTTTTTTCTATAATTAGCCTGCTCGCTCTTTTTTGCTCGAAATTAGACTTAACATCAAAAACTTCAAACAACAACATATATGGCGTTAAGAAAAAACTAAAAAACGCCCGATGACAAAATTTCTTGGTCATTTTAAATGGTCGAAAAATTATCTGTCACAGTCTTTATCAGAGATAATAAAGTAAAGATTAATAAATTATTATCTTTTTATAAAATAGAGAATTTATACTGGTAGAAAGAATTGGGTGCTTTTCTTCTTTACAGGAATTTTCCTCTACGCTTTTTTCTTCTTTTTTGGCACAACCCAAAAACGCCTGTGTTTTAGGAACTTTTTTGAAGTAAAAATTGATCGAAAGAAATGCATTTTTTTTGTAAAAAAAACTAATGTTTTGTTTAGTTTTTTATTGGTTCTAATTTTTGACCAGATGATTGAATGATTCTGATGAGAGAAGAGTTTAAAACCCGATTTTGAATAAGACAGTTTTTAAGAAAAGTTTGCAGCATTTTGATTTGGATTAATAATAAGAAATTACGCTAACTACTCATATCAGTTGTAGTGTCGAGTTTCAATTAATCAATTATTGGCTCGTGCTGTATCGTAGATGTCTTTTCGGCTGTCGTCGCCTGATTTGATGAGGTTGCTCATTGACTGCTCACTCCTGAAAAAAAATTACTGTAGAAACGGAAACATTCGAGAAAAAACAATAGAATTACTTACAAAAACTATGCAGCACAATTCAAAGACCTCGTGTTTTTTCGGAGCTCGTTCAATTGAAAGTGAGATTTTGCGGTAACATTTATTTTTCTTTTCTATTCATGATTAAAACAAAAAAAAGCTGAAAGCTAATATTCATTAATATTCGTGTTTCAGAAGAAAACAACATGAAGAACTTATAACCTGGATGGAATCGTGTGCGGTTTCTTTCACGCTGTCAAACTGACCAAGTCGAGGCATGGCACTCCGCAGTCTGTCACGCTTGAAATAATCAAATCCTGCCCCTCCCCCGCTCAGAAATGGAAGCGTGGAGGGCACGAATGAATTGCGACGTCGGCTTCTCGTGTCCACTTCCGAGTATGATGTCTGTCGCTGCAGTAACCATGGGGATCCTTTGCGCGGCGGCTGTCGTTCGATTCCCGAGAAGCTCCCCGTTCGTTCACGTTCGTCTCGAAATTGAGTGTTAAAGTGATGTGAGTTCAAACTTGCACTCAGTTGGGGATATTTGGTACTTGTTTGAGGTTGTGATATCTGAAATTCAAATTTTACGATTCAAACCAAAAACTCGACGCGCAGAAAAAACACTGAAGAAAAGGAAATCTGACTTCAGAAATTAAGTGCCCAGTTTGTATCGAAATGAAACGTGAATAAAATACTATAAAACTGCAATAATAATCATAATAAATTGTTTTCAGGCAACTCCATTGTGGGTAGTTAATAAATGATATAAATTTACAAACCACGCCAACAATTTTACTGTCTAGGAGAGCATCATTGGACTTACAGGTCCGTTAACAGGTCTCTCAAAGCGGAAATTCATTTACTAAGTTATTGATACTGGGTGAGAAATAAATTCTCAATACTTGAAATCAACTCATGCGACTACTTAGATTAATTTATACTGCAGTGTGAAAGACCGTCCTTGTATTTTTCGCTAATTTCAAACTGTGGTGATTTTTGAACACTGGGGGAGAAATTTTGTCACAGACATAAAATTTTGACCTATAAAACAGTAGAATTATTTAGAAGAAAATTTCTCCATTTTCCTTAATTTGCATTAGATTTTTTGAAATTTGCACAAAATTACTTGAAAAGGTCATGCAAAACTGTATCAATACAAAATTATGCTCCATTGAAATCTAGCCGAGAATTGAAGGGTAGGGTTAAGTCCAGTAATTGTTCCGACTTTCGTAACGAAAGTAACGGAGTATTTGTGATCGGGGTGGGTTTTTTCTTTTTAACTAGCCATTTTTGACAGAAATTTTTTTATATCATTCAAAAGGTATAGTTGTCTTGAGCTTAAACTTGAAAAAAATTTCCCTTTTTTTTCACAGTGATCATTTTTGGTAAAATTATGGGGTTTAAAGATTGGCATTTTGGCCAATTTGGGACAATTAACGCGTGATATATTTCGCGCTATTAACGCGTAAGCGGATATTTAATCCGTCTTCGAGCTCGTTACAAATTGGTTGAAGGAAGCTTATTTGCCAGAATTGATTTGTTACTGGAAGCGAAATTTATCACTTTGTGTTTTATATGGCGTGTGAGTGGATGATTTTCACAAAAAATCTCAATTAAAAAAAATTCATTTCTTATTAAATTTAATTTTTTCATGTTACTACTACTCCATAGAATAGACCTTAAAAGACAGTCGGAACATTCAGGGCTTCGCCCTGATACGAGCAGTTTTGTTTAAATTTGAAAACACCGTTACTAACTTCAGTTCTATTCCTAAAGCTGTCATTATATCCCAGTGCATCTTTCGCGTCTCCTCCTTTGCTTGTATGAGAACTACGGGGAATCATTGGAACATCATTTGGCATCTCAATTCTGGCTGAGGTGCTCGATTTGGACAGGGTCCTTGAACGTCTAATGGCATTGCGCTCATTGGAGTTTGTCTCTCTACAGCTGCTGCTGTTTTGCAGTGGGCTTCTGTGTGTGTACATCAACTCAGTAGCCGATCCTAAAAGTAAACCTTGATTGGTCATTTGTGAAAACTTGGATCAAAAACTCTTGTGTCGTTTTATGCTTTCTTCAGAAAACCAGAACACTGCTCATAAAAAAAACGCATCTCAAAAATTTTCCACATGAAAAAAAAATTGATGAGAAGTTTCGGGAGTTGACTATGTATTTTATCATTTATCTATTTAATTATTTATTCAGGCGAATTGAATTTTCGCTTATTTTTACATGAAATCATTTTTTGCCGAACAAATAAAAACTAATGAAAATTAACCTTCACTGAGCTCAGATTCTAATCCTTTTTTCAGTTTCTTTTTTTCAGAACCCGATTTATTTTTGAATGATGACCCTGATATGTGTTTGTCTGTTGCCGAGTGGTCTCCGACTACTCCGCTCTTGCGTCTTGGTCTCGCGGGGGTAATGCTGACGTCGCGCTCTCCGTCACTTCCCGAGGAGAGGTAAATTGAGCTCATCTGGTGTAACTTTTTCCTGCTCCAGTTGTGCTTTTGACGAGGTTGCTCAGCACTAAATCAACACCAATCAAAGACGACCAGCAAATAATTTATTAAAATAAGAAGAATACATTTTTTTCTATTTTCCTTTCTAATACTGGTTGATTTCGGAGTGTTAGCTAAAAAGGATAGTGATTATATGTAAAAAGCCATTTAAAAGACGAACAGCAATTAGTTTCTTCACATTCTAGGTATAAAATTCTTCATAATTACCAGTGCTTAAAATTTGAAATCTAGCTGAAGAGAAGCGTAATTTTATATAAGAAAGTTTGCTTCCGTTCGTCTTTCAAAGTAAAAAAAAATAGGAAGAGATTTTTTTTATTTGAAGTACATTTTGAGTAAGGTAAGTTTGATTTGAGCGAATTAAACTATTTGCATCAAATTTGGCATTTCTTTCTAATTTGATTCAAAATTTAAATTGGATTCGCTTCTTATAATTTCTCACCTATCTGTTTCGTTGACGGTCGCACAGGTGAAAGAAGTGGACTTTGACATGCCCCTATTTCCATCAGCATTCCCTGCTCTTTTTTCACTCCTATTTTTTCGGTGAACCCCCTGCTCCCCCGTGGAACTGTTTGCCTGGTGTAAGGAGTACCGCCTATTTATATCAGTGAAACGTTTCTTCTTACTCTCACTTTTCTGTCTTGAAAATTTACCCAAAGAAGGGTTCGATTGACTACTATTCGTGGACATTTCGTGGCCCTTTGAGTCTGCCGTTTTATTGCTCTGCAGTGGACTGTGGTCTCCGAAGAGCAGCTCGTCCAGGCTTTGATGGTCGTGTATGGGGATAATTGGGGGTGATATCGGTTTGTTTTGCGTCGGTCCTACTTGTTCGTTTGATTGTGAAATGCAATTGTTGTTGTTGTAACTCTTCACTTGAATTCTCGAGTCTGAAATCAATGATTTGGAATTGTTAACTATTACCCTCCTGTGGTATCTTGTAACGATGGGAACAGTTATGGGAACAGTTAACAAGATTCGCCAATTGTTGTCGCCTTTTTTCTATGATTATATTGTTTCATTCTCACGCTAAATTGAACAAGGATAAACGGTTGCTGTGCAATTAGCATCCCGAGCCGAAGTTTCATGGATAAAAATCGAGTATAATGGATTTTCGTTGACTAAAATGATGTCTATAGAATCGATTATCATGGCAAACTTAGACGACGTAATGGATTTTTGATTCATTTTTATCGATTATTTTCGAAAAATAAAAAACCATTAAAATCCATTATAATCGATTATAATCCATTTTTGTTTTCAATATAATGGATTATTTTTTGTTATAAATTCCATAAAAATTGATTAAATTTTGTAAATAATGACTCCACTTTTTGCAACTTTCTGCAAAACTCGAGCGGTTACGTTGATCTAGGGGCGGCCAATATGTAGTAATTTTGAAGACGCCAATAAGTTGTAACTTTCCAAAAAGAGCCCAAAAACGGCATTTTGACCGTTTTTTTCAAGAAATTTGCCTGACGCGCTAGAAATTGGGTCCAAATACGTTCTTTTTAGTGTGATGGGAGTGCTCAGAAAATCAACCTGGTCGACTTGAAAAAAAAATCGAATAAAATTCCCCTACCACATAACCCCCCCCCCCCCCCCCCCCCCCCCACACACACACACACACACACACACACACACACATACGTCCCACCCTACGCCCCCCTACGTCCCCCACGTCCCCCTTCGTTCCTCCCATCTCCCCCTACCTCCCCGAACTTAAATCCAAACCACCCCTTCCCCACGCGTTTACCCCAACCCCACTAAACACTAAACTATGTAGTACACGTTGAAATTAAGAAAAAAACTGAAATTTAGCGAGAGAACAAAATAACCAACACATGTTTAACATTATTCTGAAAAAAAAAGAAAACAGCACAACGAAAGATTTCAATAAATGGATTATAATCCATTATAATTGTTTAAATTTGACTATTTTTCTTTCGATAAAATTTTTTGAAAGTAACTTGAAAATAATCGATATTAATCGATTTATAATCGATTATATTGGAATTTCATTTCTTATAAAATAGTGTCGGTATAATCCATCTCCCCCTACCTCCTCGAATTAAATCCAAACCACCCCTTCCCCATGCGTTTACCCCGCCCCCACTAAACACTAAACTATGTAGTACACGTTGAAATTAAGAAAAAAACTGAAATTTAGCGAGAGAACAAAATAACCAACACATGTTTAACATTATTCTGAAAAAAAAAGAAAACAGCACAACGAAAGATTTCAATAAATGGATTATAATCCATTATAATTGTTTAAATTTGATTATTTTTCTTTCGATAAAATTTTTTGAAAGTAACTTGAAAATAATTGATATTAATCGATTTATAATCGATTATATTGGAATTTCATTTCTTATAAAATAGTGTCGGTATAATCCATCTCCCCCTACCTCCTCGAATTTAAATCCAAACCACCCCTTCCCCATGCATTTACCCCACCCCCACTAAACAGTAAACTATGTAGTACACGTTGAAATTAAGAAAAAAAAACTGAAATTTAGCGAGAGAACAAAAAACCAACACATGTTTAAAATTATTCTGAAAAAAAAAGAAAACAGCACAACGAAAGATTTTAATAAATTGATTATAATCCATTATAATTGATTAAATTTGATTATTTTTCTTTCGATAAAATTTTTTGAAAGTAAGTTGAAAATAATCGATATTAATCGATTTATAATCGATTATATTGGAATTTCATTTCTTATAAAATAGTGTCGGTATAATCCATTTTTATTCGATTATAATCGAATATTTTTGTTATTTTATAGAGACGGACAAGGAAAATCCAATATAGTAGATTATTATCCACAAAATTTCAGTGCAGGATTGAATGTTCCGGCAAACTTCATGAGAAAAACTACAAAAAAAAGGTTTTTTCTTGTTTTTGCTTCAAATTAGAGTCGTTTTTAGTGCGTGGTGTGACGAGAAAAGAAATAATAACACTTAAAAGTTTAGTGAATTAGACATAAATTACTAAACTTATTTTCAAAAATGAATGACAAACAATAAATTTAAAAAACTAGAAATTCTAAAATAAGTTTTTTTCACATTTTAAATTTTTATTAGAAAATTTATTGCCAATGAGGCGCTCTAAATGAAGCTTCCAAAACAAGTTTTCTTTCAAATAAATCAAGTCCATTGACTCTCATTTTCATATAGGGAATGTTACTTAATCGCTATACTAGCTCAAAAATTGAATAAAACTCAAAAGTTTGGAACCAATTTTTCGCAAAAATGGGACAAGTTTTAAAAACTTTTAATGCCGTTCGAATCAACACTCAAAGGGTTTTATCGCTCGAATCATTCCGGTGATTTTTTGAGGTGTTACCTGATTTTGCGTAGGGGAAAATAAAAAAATCTAAAACACCTTTATACTAAACTCCTCCCCCTATTTAATGGTCGGAACAACAAAACTAAAACACACCCGAAAACAAAAGAAAACAAAAGTTCTTCCCCATTTTCAGATCGGAACAATAAAATTTTGATTGCGTGCACAGAAGCTTTTTGCGTATCGAAGCTGTCTAGGCTTCTCAGAAGGTAACATGGTAATAGCAGTAGTCCGCGATGGTAGTTTCATATAAGTGTCATTTTGTTTTAAAATCATTCTTTTCCAGCATGATGTTTAGTTATTCTTCATCTCATTATAGCGCACCCACTAAAATTTTGACTCTGTCATTTCTGAAATGTATCTCAGTGTACCAAATGGGAAAATCACCACCAAGGGGTTAATGGGATCTTTTTGAACCTGGGCCCACTTTGTTCATTTACTGTCAGGATGTTCACGCAGATTTGCTTTCCCTTCAATACTTTCACGCTCAGTTGTCTACGGGTAACTTCCATGCTTTTGTTGCAATTTCTTTGTGCTCTTGTTCAAATTGAGGTAGAAATGTTCTCCTGTTTACAGATAGGGAAATCAGTCAGGAAATGTCTATAAAAATTCCATTGATCCTTTGGGTAATTTATGACTTTTGTGGTAAAAAAACATTGTAAAATCCATTTTTGTAGATGAAATAGGCCACAAACGCAGCCGCGGCTGATACTATAATGGTTAATTTTTCTATTGAAGCATAGAATTTATAATAACACATATTTGACAAAAATAATCGCAGAAGATCGATCAAAGTCAGAAACCCTTCTTGAGCATAATTTCATTTTGCTATATTTTGATATCCTGGGCTGTTTGTTTGATAAAACAATGTCAAAATCTCGCAGGGATCATCCTGGAATTCCTGGTTTGGTCAAGTTTTCCATGGTTGGTTTTCAAAAAAAGTTTTGCTAAGAACCAAGTCTGAAGTGAAATTTAAAACATGCAAATGGAAGCAAAACTGTCCGAAAACACATTCATCAAGAAGTCTTTCATATTAAAAAACACACATGTTAACTAACAAAAACCTCACAGAATAGCTGCCTTTGGAGAGAAAAGTTATGGTTTTAGACAAACTCTTTCTTATAAAAAACGAGTCTGACCCACAATTTAGACAAAACTTAACACTTTTTTTGCAAAAAAAAAAAATGTATCGGGGAAAATGCTGGCAGGAGGTCCAAGGTATTACCTCGTCTATGTAACTCGGGTTATAGTACCGTGCCGCGTTAGTTTACTTCATGGCGCAGCCGGGAAAGAAACCGCTTGATGCTAGGAATCTGTTGAGCATGGCAAAATTTTGGGATCTACAAACAGAGCAACCGCCAGCAACATGCGAACGATTGAGCTCAAATTTGATTTTTTTTTCAGCAACCGAGCAGACAGTGGTCACCTTGAATACGCTCCACAGCTTAAACGAACGAAATTTACGCATCCTGCCTTTGTAGTAGAAAAACACCAGTAGTTGAGGAGAGTGCAACCAAACCGTGGGACCGCAATATCTGCAAAACAGTATAAAAAAATTGAGGTGGAATAATACAAAATGACTAGAAATATAGGAGAATTATAAGAGAATTAATTTCCGTGGGAAATTGAATTAGCTATTAGGAACCACTTCTGGTGTGTCTGTAGAAAAGGTGGTTACCAGCAAATTAATCAATGCTCAGAAGGCAAATGAAATTGTTTTTGTTCCGACCGAAATTCGTTTTTCATTTTTTTTTGCCATTTCTTATATGACAATTGTGTTCAGAAAATAACTAAACAACTAGTAGGGTAAAGTAATGATATAGCAAGAGTCGGCAGCCGAGTCCATGCGAATCCAGGGTGCAGCAGGATAAAAATCACGCGGAGGAGAAGCTCGGTCCAACTGGGAATGATGGCAATGACAAACCCGGACACAATGTTACGAGAACTGAGGGACAATATAGAGAATAATGATGACGATCTAGGTCAGATCCAGCCACAGAAATTGTTTGCCTAAGAAAAATCTCGTAAACAAGTCGTCAACATACTACGGCCTATGTACAAATATTGGTTAAATATTGAAACCCATAATAAAAGAAAACTTGGTAAAACAATTAGCAAATTTTACAGGTTTAAATGAAGAAATGCAAACATACTTCAATGGGACCCATCTTAATGGAAAGAAGATGTGATACGATGTATACAAGGAAATATGTAGGATTGATTGGTAATCAACATTCTTTGTGCACAAAATTTTTAGACTGCGAATATTGGGGAGGTTGTTAGATTCCTTGTACTCTACATAACACTCCACGGTACAGCCAAAATGCTCAGAGATCAATCAAAAATACCGAAATGACAGACTACGATTGATACAACAGCCAAATTCACTAAAAATAGGCTCACATGGAACAACAAGGGGAAATCATCCGCCTTCCACGCCGTTTAAAAATTGAACAATTCAAAAAAAATGTTCAAAAATTTGAAAAAATTTTATAGAATTTGCTGCACGTTTTTTTTTCTTTTTTTTGCATTTTTATTGTAGCTTTTGCTAAATGCTTTATGGCAATCAGGGGCGGATTTAGGATTTTCACGAGGGGGCGGGTTTTCGGACCCCTGTTTTCGAGCCCAAAGCACTAAAAAGCCCCTGTTTTGGTCACATTTTCTTCGCCGCAGGCAAAATTTTGAAAAAACGGGCCAAAAAAAGGCGTTTTTGGGCATTTTTTGGAAAATTATGACCAAAAAAATGCGTTTTTTTGGCGCGCGCTCCGGATGCCTTTTTCCCTAAAACCGCCCCTGATCGCAATGCTAATGCAAAGTTTTCTGGGTCCTTTCCTGAAGCGGGCTCAAAAAATGTCCGCGCTCAAAACTTTAAACAGAATAGTTTTCTTCCGTTTTTTTTTCTTCATATAACTCGTCAAAACATTCAGTGGCTACTTGCGCAGCAACCGGTTACATTTGTTTCTTTATGCACATTTGATAATTAAAGTCGCTGACATGAGAAATAGTGTTACTAGCTCACAATTCGGAGATTGGTCACGTGGTGATGCTCGTCCCATCTGCAGTCCTCTCCTTTTGTCATCATCCGAATCACTGTTGTCGGGAGACGCCATTCGGTTCAACTCCGCATCCGACTCGGGACTTGTTGTGGTCAACAAGGCCAAGTGTTTCAGACTCTTAAATGCAGGCGCTGCGGCTGCCAACTTTATAGCTTTCTTCTTCTTGGGTAACTTGATTCGTGCTTGAGCATGGTTGTAATAGAGAGTGAAATTGTTCACGATCACTGGAACTGGCAGTGCGATTGTGAGCACTCCACTGATTGCACACAATGCACCAATGATGCGACCACTCCAAGTCTTGGGCACACTGTCTCCGTAACCTGAAGATAACAATGACCGCTAACAAAAAATAAGCTCCTCTCCAATTACCTCAAAAAGTCTTGATGAGATTTAATCAGATACAGGATTTTCGCGAAGGGTGGTTAAGAGTGGATTTGAGGTACTCTCGAAGGAGTATTTTTCGAAAGTTCTTAAGAATTTCAATTTCTTATTCAGCTATTGATTTTCTGAACTTTTTTGCCAACAACTTCGGTTTTTTGAAAATTTTCTTTTCTAAGAAATCGCATATTTTTCTTTAGGGCTTTTCACAACACCCCTTTCCCTCAAATAAGTGGATAACAGGGCCAAAGATATTTTTAAAAAGACTCCAAGGACTTTTGAGGCGTTGAATTTGGATTTTTTTTTTTTCAATTCAAGTTATAGATTTGAGTGGCCATAAACTTTCAAAAAAAATCTGAAGCGCTGATATACCGGCAGTATTGTTCTATAATTAATTAGATTTTGCACATCAAGTGTCTAGTCTGGTAGTGCGTTGTGTATTAATTAAATCAGTCCAATGGAAACTTTCAAGGCAGATCTTTGGACGTGCGCTCAAATAGTTAGAGCCTCATTTTATCAATACAAATCTAAATGACCAAAATTAACATCAGCTATTTGAAAATGAGCAGTGAAGTTTGGCTTCATATCACTTTTTCGGTCAAACATCTCTCAACATTCCTGTCGGATATCAAAAAATTGAACTCACACACCGAGATACTTAGTTGAATTTTCTCCATTAACTTTGTGAAAGCCTCTAAAGTTTATGGGCGTTAATGCTTTCTTGTTCCTTAGAGATATGACGCTTTGATTTCTAATTCTTGCTTCAATTTAGTTTCAATTTTTCGATTTTTTTGCATCATGTACAAACTGACCTAAGATATAAAATCAGATCGTTTAATTTTTAAATCACTAAAATCACGAAAAATATTTTTTTGCCCACGTGAACTCATTTGATTTAGGGGGGGAGGGTGTAATTGTTCACTTGATTCACAAGATCGATCATTGACACTTTGCCTTGATAGAGACGACTTTTGAATGCGCGCTTTCACTACTGTATTCTCTTCTGGTTTGACAAAGAGAAAGGCCAGAATGAAACAAGTGGGGGTTTTGCATTTTAGTTTTTGTTTTCACGCAAAATCAATTACCACAAATAGTCATCGAAATGGGCCGAGCGATATACTATAAAAGAACCCTCTCATTCGTAATCTGAACATGAAAAAATTTTAAAAAAAGAAGCCCGAGTGTCCAGAAAAAACGGGTTTGATAGCCCTAGTTTTAGTCTTAATTTGAGCAGTAACTAGGCTAATTTTGAGCGAGTAAAGCGATCCAGTAACGTTCGTTACATAAAATTTTGCATTTAAGCTCAGAAAATTTGTTTCACCTAAATGAGCGCTTAATTAAAATAATTTTTAGAAAAAACTTAAAAAAACTATTGCTTTTTTTTGAATTTCTGTTATCTTTTTTATTGTATGTTGAATTGCGAAGATCTGAAAAAAAGCATATTCGGCATTTATACTATATTAAGTATGTTTGACAGTAGTTTTCCTCAAAAACACCGTCAAAAAACAAAATAAAATTGGAAAACATACAAATTATTTTTCTAAAAATTATTGCAGACAATTTTTTGAATAAAAATGTCAAAAAGGGCGTTGGAAAAACAAAAAAACTTTTTTACTGGGGTAAATTGAAATTTCATAGCTGAATTTATGAATTAGATTGTTATTTGCCGTTTACAAGAATTACTCGCGCGCTCAACTTGCTCAAAAATAGACAAAGTAGACAACTTTTCAAACTAGTTTTTCTGAGCCCTTGAGAATTTTTAAGTGCGGCTTGAGCAATCTCCAGAGCTTTAAAATTAGACATCCCTCGATTCATACCAATACTTTTGGTGATACCTGATTTTGCACAAAAAAATTAAAAGTAAAAAATAATAACCAACTCAAAAACAAAAATGCTGCCCATTTTGAGTGGTCGGAACAATAACTGTTAGTATGAAGAGCTAGATGCGATGTGGTTTTTTTGAAAAGTTAGAAATTGCAATAGCCAACACAAGGTTATAGGTCCTCCTTTAGTCGTGAGCTCAACTGAGCCACAAAAAAGCTGGTTGTGTCGGAAAATTATATTACGATACAGTCCAAAATTCAATTTCACGTTTAATTTTTAGGTTTATATTCAAATTATTCAGCTTTAGTGATTGTGGAATAACAATTTTGCTTAATTTCGTGTGTGATATCTTGAAAAAAAGTAATTTTTTGGCTTTTTTATGTGAAAAATTAAAAATTTGCATTCATCATGCAAGAGTCTTTCAGAGTTAGTTTTTGCTTTCAAAATTAAGAGGAATATGCTTGCAAGGTCGCTTTGGTATC